ATATATATATATATATATATATATATATATATATATATATATATATAAAACAAGCAGGAATTTTAACAAAAATAGTGTAATATCCCTGTCACACCAGTAGGTGGCGAGAATGTTTGAATTAACATGTCAAGATACAAAAAAAAAAGAAAAGTTCCTAATTGAATACTCTCCCAACAACTGTAGCTTCTCTTTTTGACAGTTCAGTTTCTTCTCAGGTGATAACTTTATGGGCTCACGATCAAAGTTTACAAGTGACAGTGTCAAGACAACACTCGCCAAAAGTCTAAAAAAGTTAAATCTGGTCCTCTGGACATTCAAAAAAACAAAACAAAGCAAATCAACAAAAAAATGTAGAAACGTTTCGTCTCTCATCCAAGAGACTTCCTCAGTCTGAGGAGCTGTTTTCAGCTCAGTCTCTTAAATAGCACCTTCTCAGAGTGGATCAACCAGTTTGCTGCTGACAACCAAAACCAGCTGCTCACATGCTCAAGAAGGACCATCAGCCTAACGATGGATCATTAGCACACTGATGGCTGTTTACTATTCACAGAGGGCTGAGTGATACTAGAAATAACAGCATTGTAAGAGGGGGACAATTGAACACATAGGCCTCCACCCCTGTTTAATGATGGACGGTTTCTTTTCACAAAGATGGCCTCCTTTACTCCTCTCTCAAACCATCGTTCCTCTCTGTCCAGGATGGGAACATCTTCATCCTTGAAAGAGTGGCCGCTGGCCTGGAGATGAGTGTAGACCGCAGAATCCTGGCCTGATGATGTTGATCTTCTGTGCTGGGCCATCCTTTTGGCCAGTGGCTGTTTAGTTTCCCCGATGTAAGACTGATCACCCTCCTGACACTGAACAGCATACACAACATTACTCTGTTTGTGCCGGGGGACTGGATCTTTGGGATGAACCAGTCTTTGCCGTAATGTATTTTGGGGTTTAAAAGCCACTGGGACGTTATGTTTAGAAAATAAACGTCAAAAGTAGAAAAAAGTGGTAAAATGGCTCCATTGTTGTTGTGGTTTCTAGAAAATAAAATAATAATGGGGCTTGTTGTTTTTTTTTTCTCTAAAGCTCTGCAGCATGTGTCAGCACAAACTCACCAAATAAAAATTAGAAAAATACCCATGTCGGAAAGCACTTTTTTCCTAAAAATCACGTTTTTCTCACCAAACACAAACGCAGCAGAATCGTTTTTTTATAATTCAGCATAGCATCAAGAGAGACTTCGCCCTGTTTTCTAGCTGAATGTTTAAATTGTATGTTACGCCATTAAAAGGCTTAACGACCTGCGAACCTTTGACATCTCTCAATAGTTCCTGATGTGAAAATAAAAAAAAAACTGAACAAGATAAGAACTGAATCCGACCTCCAAAAGTGAGATCTTTGTCTCTGCCAAGGATCAGAACATTGCAGGCTCATCAGTATATGATCTGATACGTCATACTGACTCAGTGTTGGGTGAAGTTGCTGGCCTGTTTAAACTGTGCTTTTGAAATGAGACCCATCAGGGGTCATGGGTGACAACGAAGGAGCGCCGGCTTTGACGAGGCCCAAGGACGTTAGCGATAATTTGCTCCTCATTTAACCATTGTGGCTTCCTTTTTGTCTTTTGTTCCTTTTTACCTTTCAGGTAAATTTCGAGAAAAGGCGTCCATCCTTCACAAGATCGCTAAAAAGAAATGCCAGGTTGAGGACAGTGAGAAGGCCAATGGAGTAGCAAGCCGTACAGGTAAAAACACACATTACACATTTACTCATTTTATGACGATGAAATTAAAGTTAGATTTCTCGTGTTTGTACATATTAAATACAGCTGAGTCCAGCAGTATTAGATCCACAAAGTAGTCCAACTACCTTCTTGCTGTAGCATCAGTAGCTGTCATGATGCATTTACTGCAACCTTGAGATCTCCTCAGTATGTTCTGGAGGGGCTGATGTAAATGGATGCAACATTCACTCCTGACATTTTGATTATCCAGCCAGAGACAAAGTAAGACGTCTGGAAGATCAACAAGCACAAGCATTTGTGACCCGTCCTTTTAAAATAAGTCAGAGCACATGTTGCAGAGAAAATATCGATTTGGCCATAATTGGGATTTGCGTAAAAAGCGGGTAATGACGACACCATTTGGTGGTCTAAAGTAGCATAAAATATTTATAACCTACCTTTGAATTAATGTTGTACAACAGGTATGTCTTCAGAAATAATAATTTGATTTCTAACCTTTGCAACTACATTTATTATTGTTTGTTTCATTTTTCTATGCCAGCTACAGTAGTAGGAAATCCCTTCATGTAATGTTTGTCATTGTGAAGCCTTTTTAAATATCATATAGTCTATGGGGTGCCATTTGTAAAGTTACACTGTTGAAAATTAACAGCAATATTTTGGTTTATTTAGCCTTTCATAAGGGAAGAAGCTTTTTTTCACAATAATATTTCCACCATGTCATTCATGCATTTATAAATGTCATAGCTTGCTAACAAATATTTAACTGTCAAATTAAGTATTTATTCATTCAACCTTTATTTAGACAGGTAAATCCCATTTGAGCCTCAAGGACTCATTTACAAGAAAGACCTGATTTCAACAAAGAATGATGACAATGATGACATTTAGTTTGTAAACTAAATATTTAGCTTGTAAATTAAATATTTAGTTTGGAACAAAGTATATAGTTCCACACTAAGTATTTAGTTTACAAACTAAATGTTTAACTCGCAAATTAAATATTTTTCTGGAAATTAAATGTTTAGTTAGGAAAATAAATATTTAGATCCGAGCTAAATATTTAGTTAGCAAATTAAATATTTATTTTAAAAATTAAATGTTTAGCTTGGAACATAAACATTTAGGTCTGAGCTAAATATTTAACAAATTAAGTATTAATTTAGTAATTAAACATTTAGCTTAGAAATAAAATGTTTAGTTTGGAAATTAAATATTTAGCTTTGACAATAAATTTAGTTGGGAAAATTAAATGTTTGGTTTTGAAAATAAATATTCAGCTTGGAAATTAAATATTTAATTTACACCTAAATATTTAATTCACTAACTAAATATTTAACTTGCAAGTTAAATATTTAGGTTGTAAATTAAACATTTATAGGGATGCATGATATTATTGGCATGGTATTGGTTTCGGCCAATATTAACGTTAAATTTTAATATCGGACATTGGTCATTCCATTAAAATAACTCGCCGATATAAAAGTCCCTGTTTTTTCCTGCAGCGGAAGCACAACGTGATGCAACGCGATGATGTCGTGTTCACCTACCCAAGCAAAAATTCAAAATGTCAGCAGTGTGGAAGTTTTATTTTTCGTTGGTGAGGATGTCTGATTCCGAAGATTTATGGGCTACGTTGAGCCTCGCTACATTGTCCGCAGTCTGAGATATTTTTCCAACGTAATGTTACCCGAGTTACAAGCCGTCATTTCAGATGTCATTGAGAAGCTAATAGCCGATAGCATGACTTGTTGGGTGAGTTTTACCACAGACATTTGGACGTCGTGTTAGCCGCGTTAGCATGATTAGTCTTATGGGACAATGGATAGACAAAAACTTTGAACTTAAAAAGGCTGTCCTGCATGCACAGGAGTGCAGAGGATCCAACACTGCAACTAGGAACCTGGAACAAGACTCCACAAGTGAGACAGCGTTGCAGGTGACTAATGCTAATAAATAACATTTAACACATTTCATTTAATATAAGTCAAAGTGCTATACATATATGGCTGTTACTGAATATATGTCACCAGCTCTTACAGCTGTTGCACAATTTTTGTAGCAAATAACCCTAAATAAGAGGCTATGTTCTGACAAAGGGAAGTATATAAAATATCGGTATCGGTTATCGGCCTAATAAGTTTTAACATATCGGATATTGGCCAAAAATCCAATATCATGCATCCCTAAACATTTATCTTGGACATAAACGTTTAGTTTGTAGACTAAATATTTAGTGTGGAGCTAAATATTTAGCTTGCTAACTAAATATTTAACTTTCAAGTCAAGTATTTAATTTTGTAAACTAAATATTTATCTTGTAAATAAAATATTTAGTTTAGAACTATGACATTTATTAATGTATGAATGACATGGTGAAAATATGACTTTGAATAATTTTTTTTCTTATATAACCAAAATATTGCTGTTAATTTTTGACTGTAACTTTACAAACGGCACCCCATAATAGCCTGGTGAATTCCACATTCCACAGTACAATTTTCAATTTGTTTCCTGCGTCCTTTGCGCTCATCTCAAGGACTCTTTTTCTGTTACTAGCCAAAAATGCATTAACAGGGAACTTCCTGTTGCAAAACACTTTTATTTCCTAACAGCAACTTTTGAAGAAAGTCTGTAAACTGTTTTCAAAAACTTTTAAAATGGTCTCTGGTGTTTATGTCTGAAAACAGTAAATGTCATATTACCCAACAACCTTACACAATTTTAGCTCCTTACTCACGGTCTCGGACATTCTCCTTCAGGATTAACGTATTTTTCAGACTATAGGGCGCACCGGATTATAAAGGCGCAACATTAATGAACGGGTCTGTTTTCATATATAAGGCACACCGGATCATAAGGCGCATTAAGCGAAACAAAACAGTCATAAATCAAACTTTATTCAACTCATTCACAATAACACTCAACATTGTTCAGTTGTACCACATAAAATCGTTTCGAGGTCGGTAAGCACATCCAGAATTAACACATATGGCGCCCTGGATTATAAGGCTCACTGTTGAATTTGAGCAAATTAAAGGATTTTAAGTGTGCCTTATAATCTGAAAAATATGGTTCTGTTGGCACCTAATTACCCTCAGTGAATAAATCCTTCCTCAATGGGGTGCGTGAGTTTTCACTCACATACCCCCCCACAAAAAATCTGTTGGTTATCCTCAAACTTTCTGGAGCACATATCAACCAACTTTATATAACTTTTAATAATTGCTCAAATTCCCCTCACTTACATGATTAACGAGCGTCACACTCAAGTGTTAAACAAGCATGACATTACCAAGGGCGGCCAAATTGATTGTGAGTGTTGTCTTGGAGCGGTGCTTAAATCAATCACAGTCACCGCCAAGAGTAATTTGTGTTTTTTCCCTTCAAAGCACACCGACCCAAAGAATAAACTGAGGCCGGAGGAGGCGCTTTCATGGCCGCAACGCTGTCAGGAGTATCAAAGCAAGACGTTAATGTGCCTCAAAGAGGCTAAATTATGCTAACGGCGTCACGTTAACACATCACTCTCTTAAAAGCATTGCCTTTTACGTGTAATATGTTACGTTTGGACTATACAGTCTTTAGAAACCTGCTGTTAGTGTAGTATGCGATTAATGAGATTAGATTTGTCATTTTTAGCTGAAATGTTACAGCTTCTGAACAGGAGAGTGAGGTCATGTGTTGGAATATCAAGTCACATTATCTGTCTGAGAGTCAGTTTAATTGTGTCCCAACTGCCGATGGATTAAAGTAATTTCCACAGCAATTATAGTTTTATCATGATTACATGGTTTTGGGCTTTTTGTGTTTCAGTGAGGGTCAGGCTCCAGATGCAATAAAGTAGCTACCAAGAAAAAAAAAGGGGGCTGGAGGATTGTATCAGTGTCATTCTTTTACTTGTTTAGAATCTCTTTAATTTACCATACAGTAGTCTCTCGATACGTCTCGATACGGTTCGACTTTCGCAGACTCGCTGTTTCGCAGGTTTTCCTCATAAGATTGTACATGACACATGATTGGCTGATTGATGGAGCATTGTGCTCTGTATCCCGGACGCTGATTGGCTCAGTAAAGGCTCCAGTTTAGTCGGGCGAACATTGGTCCACGGAGGTCCGCGCGTACTGGATTAGAGTCGAAGCGGACACCTGCAGGGAGGGCATGTCCGTGCAAAGCTCCATTTAATTTTTACGACTGCGTACTTGTACTCTGTGTCGCACAATAAACTGCCCGGCGACGGACTGTTTGGTATGCGACACCAATGTATTAAATTCCTCTTCTTCATCCCTGATCTGGTTGAATGACTTTTTTCTTTTCTTTTGTTTTTTTGCCAAAAGACAAGTGATATCTTCCTCCTCTTCCGTTGACGCCATGCCTGAAATGGTGAGAAATGAAGGAATTTGTCACGAGTGAATTAAAATCAGGTTCAGCGTGGCTGCAGGATGGTCTAAAGATTTCCTGATGGGCTGGTCTGATGTGGGCTGCAGGGCTAGCGCTCCCTGTTTTTTTTTTTTTTAGAACTTATTAACAACATATAAACACTGAACGCGGCTGGGGCTGCCAGCTCTATCTTTTTATTTTTTTGCGATCTGCCAATCAATCCCGTAGGCGTGTCAGCAAATGATCAATTGGCGACCTCAATTTGTCCCGAAGGTAAACGCCCCATGTCTGCAGAGCTGGTCTGCAGCCGATCAGGGTGGACGCTCGAGTATGAAGTCTCAACCCTCTGCGGACAGTGCACGTCAAGTCGGCGTGGAAAATGGTCCGCGAGTATACTGGAGCCCTAACTGTAGCATCAGTCTGTCTGCGCTCTTTCGCTTTGCTCTTTAAGAACCGAGCAGCCTGGTCCCCATCCAGGGACCATACCTCCAGCATCCGTACGGCCCTTCCCTCCCCGTCCACATGCATCCGGGCGCGTATCTGGGGGATGCCTTCTCCCGTCGAGCCTGCGGTGCTCACGGGATGTTGCTGCCGGTGGAGACTTTCCTCTGTGTTGCCCGTGTCCTCGCGCTCGCCTCCTCGGGACTGGTGGAGGACGCCCGCTCCAGCGGGGGAAGAAGGGTGGAGGCCACCTTGCATGTGACGCGTTGGTCCTCCAGGCGTGCCCCCGCCACTGCTGTCGGACCCTGCCGCCCAACGCCTTGAGCTCTTACCCGGTGCAACGCTCGCTATATCAAGGATGATGTGTGTGTATATATATATATATATATATATATATATATATATATATATATATAATACTAAAATAAATATAATGTCCCTACTTCGCTGATTTTCACCTATCACGGGGGTGTCTGGAACGTAACCCCCACAGTACATGAGGGACTACTGTATTTATCAGTATATTTAATTTTGGACCAAATTTCCACACATAGAGGTACTTTTATTTAGACTTTTTATCTCCAGCATAACTTTGTATGCCACCTAGTTAACGATATGATGTGGGTTCTTTTAGTACAGAACTCAAAGACTGGCAGCGAGGAGCTTTGTCGTTTGGACAGCCTTGCAATCTGGATCTGGTATAAATCAAACACATTTACCACAACTTTTCACATGCGTTGTCTTCTCAAAAAAGGCATGTTCTTGTAACGTTGGTAGATATTCTCACTGCCAGTGAAGTCTCTTTAGCCTGTGCTGGAACGTTGTGGCAACGGTCTAACTAAAACATGGCAATGATGTTGCTTCAGTTTCATTTGCAATTTTCTGCCTCTACAAATTTGGCCCTGAAATCAAATTTTAAGTCTGCCATTGACATCACACCCAATTTTACTGTGTTTACTGTGTGTACTGTGAAATAAATGCTTCTTTATAAAAAATAACTAATGGATTCAGTAAAAAAAAAATAAATAAATAAAAGTCCAGATAAAAGCCAGAGAGACGGACATTTTAGACAAAATTTGTATTTAACAAAACTTAGGACTAAAAATTAAAATTCCTCATGCAACATGATATTGAGGCGCTTGCCATTTGTATGACTGTAAGAATGGATAGAGAGTTCAGTCCTTTGGAAAAACGAGGTCCTGGCAAGCAGGTCAAGAGAAAAACATTCATACCCACGTCCTAAAGTTTCCACAAAGTTTTGGTCGAGTAGTTTTTATTTAGTCTCGCTGACTGATAAAAAGACGAGCCACGAACAAAAACTATCTCTGTCAGTGGCTGATACTAAAGGAGACACAAATGATTTAATACGTGTTCACAGCAAAAACTTTTAGTTTTCATGCGTTCTTCACTTCTTAATGGTTCTGCATACCGCCCACAGATAAGAACCTCCCTAACAGCTCCAGCGTGGAAGTGGAAGTGACCCCACCTATGAACGGAACAGCAGGACAGGAGGGGGAGACGGTAAGAAATCACGCAACACACACCTAAACAGTCAAAGCTATAAGTTTAAAAGAAGCAAACTGTGGCAAAACTAGAGCCCGACTGAGGTATCGGCCGATACTTTAGGTCGATATACGTGTTTGGGGACATATCGGTGTCGGTGATAATTGTCCTATTATGACTCACTTGATAACTTTATGGTGAATATTGGAGAATAGAAAATGTGACTGCGTTATGAAGACTGCTTCAAGACCTTCAGGTTGAAAAGTAGCTGTTTACTTTAGATTCTCGAGGGTGGATAAAGCGCAAAAATTTTCAGCCAATATATCGGTTATCGGCATTAGCCTGCCCCTCCCAATATCAGTATCGGCAATGGACAAAGTTGCCATATTGGTCGGACTTTAAGCAAAACGGTAACTAGAAGCAGCAAGATTAGCTAAATATAGAAAATGCTAGTGAAAATCTAAATAAAAAAAAAGGGTAGCTAAAAGTAGCAATAGGCTAGCTAGAAGCTTCTTTTTTATTCAGCTGTTCTTTATTCAGGGTTTGCCACATCCTTTTCCATCTCACTTCGTCCCCAGTTGTAAACCTGGCTAACTAGAAACTAAAAGTAGCTAAAGGAGCTAAGACTAGCAAAATTCTAGCTAAGAACTGTAAATATCAAAAAGTATGGATGCACGATATTATCGGCATGGTATCGGTATTGGCTGATATTAGCGATAAAGTTAAACATCAGACATCGGCCATTCCATCAAAATAACTCACCAATATAAAAGGCACTTTTTTTATATATAGTTGATATATTTATATAGTGTTACATCATTTTCAGCCCCATTTTTGGCATCTGCATTTGGTAGTAGGCCAAAATAACAAAGATCATGCAGCATAATATAGTATTTTAATTCCACAGCAGAGAAAGCTATGTCATCTCTTTAAGTAGGTCTAGGAAAAAAATATCCGTATTGGTATCGGTTATTGGCCAAATAAGTTATAACATGTCAGATATCAGCCAAAAATCCAATATTGTGCATCCCTATAAAAAAGGCTAGCTAAATGCTAAGAGTCCCAGATTGGTATGTTTTGTTCTTGCTATTGAGATTGTGATAGTGACAATTTAACGCTATCTGCTGGTTTCCTGATATAACTTTTACTAATCAGCATTTTTAACGTATGTGAATGTTTTTGTTCAGTGCTCTGAGACGATTGTTGGTGTTTATTGGCGCTATATAAATATACTGTATTGAATTAAAAGTAGTAGATGCCTAGCTAAAAGTAGCAAAAAGATTGCTAAAAGTATCCGAAGGGCTGCTAAAACCGAAAAGAAGCCAAAAAGTTGAATAGGTATGCTTTCAAGAGAACAACCTTGCTAAAGAAATTGAAGAGATTTCCAAGTTTACTGTGGGGAAAATGTTTATAAATAGTTAAATATATTGAAATGTGCAAAAGTTACAAAAGACAGGTCAGACCACCCTTCCCATGAATGGATGTTTTCATATTTGATTGGCTAAAATAATGTATGCAGAGTAAATTGCAAAAAAAAAAAAAAAAAATCAAAATAGGAAAACAATACTACGAATGCAAAATACAATAGTTCCTTGCTACTTTGCGGTTCGATGATCGCAGCCTCGCTCTATTGCGGTTTTTCAAAGTGAGAGTGGACATGACACACAATTGGCTGATGAATGGATGAGCCGCACGATCGGCATGGAATTTTTATTTTAAATTATTAAATTATTTAGTGCCTGCTGCCCCTTTGCCCACACTGCAGGAAAAACTTCCTGATGCAGCTGATCAGCTGTTTACTGTGCAGAGCGAAGAAGTGGGCGTGGCCAACAGCGCTTGCAGGTGGCAAAGAGCAGAGGAGGCAGGGAGCTGAAATAACAACATTCTGTGCTCCTTAATAATATTTAGAGTTTAAAAACGCATATATACACACACAAGGTATTTTTCAGTATTTTATAGTCTCTCGTTACTATTTATGTTCCTCTGTGAGTTAGACCGATACAAAGGTTGCACAGATTAGGACAGGGAGGCCACTACTGCTGGTATTTTTCCCAGCATGCACTCTGGTGAGTTCCTCCATCTGCAGCCAGACTGCTCCCATGGAGCTCTATAATCACACACTCTCCACCCACCTGCTGCTCCCCCCAGCTGGGAGCTGGAAACCCAATCACCGTCCTACACAAGACCTCCACGCTAACACACGCGGATGCAGACTTTGACGAACGGCCGGACTCTGAGAGCCTCAGAGCCGCACCTGCAGCACTTGCGCTGGCGTCTACGATGGCAGCAGGACTCGGCATCCTGCCGGGTCAGCAGACGGTCCGGGAACAAGTGGGCAGAGATTCAAAGTCATGTGTTTAGAGGAGAACAGACAGAGGACGGGTTGGCTGAGTGGGTCTACCTTATGGAGTTTCACCCTTCATGTGGCGCTGACGAAGACCAACTGGACCCGGCCAGAGGACGGAGGAAGAAGCTTTCATCTTTGTCTCTTGAACTTAATTATTCAGTAGTTTTGCGTGAAAATAATTCAAGTTGCATTTCTTGAAGGAATGCACATCGCTGCCACTATGCACGGCAACGTATTAAAATAAAGATTTGGTGCTCGGAGTGTGCGCAAACCACAAAACGTTTTTTTTATTCCTAACCAAGAGTGAAAATTCTTTCATTATATAATTTTGTAGGGGGACGCAGATTAAATAAAATAATCCCATAAACCTCCTTGTCTGGGATTTGAGCGTTGTTCTCCTGCACAACAGACGTATTTACTCACCGCTATATTAACGAGGAGCTGTCACAAATGAGAACCTACTAGGAGCTCTTTCTTCATCCTAAATCCCTTCCTTGAACCCTCAGACAACCTCCTGCTCATCTGTGTAGCCGTAAGCAGGTGGACTAAACCCAAACAAAATGGGTTGAATTGGCTGAAAGGCATAAATGTATTGGTTTGCTTCTATTTATAGTGGATATGCTCATTGTTACTTAAACCTATAGTTTCTTTAGATTATTTATTTTCAATTCAATTTTCAATTCAACCTTTATTTATACAGGTTAGTCTCATTGAGTCTTGGGGACTCATTTACAAGAGAGACCTGTTTGAAACAAAGAACACAGATGACAACAGTAGACAATCACAAAACTGCATATAAAATGAAAAGTAAATGGAAGAAATTATATTTAAAAAAAAAAGAAACAAAAACTGCTACATTATAAAGTGATGCAAAATACTAAAAACATGAACATGTGTGCTTTGGTTTTTGCCGTGAACTTAGCCGTTATTTAAAGTCCCTTAGAGAGGTCAAGGTCGAGAGCTTCAGGTCTTTTTGCAAGGTGTTCCAGGAAACGGGAGCATAGGAGGAGAAGGCCCTTTTGCCTAGTTCGGTCCGCACAGAGGGGACACTGCAGGTAATGATGTCTTGGGAGTGCACGCTGTAGCTGCACTAACGAAGTGACATATAGGAGGAGGTATCAAAAGGCAACAGACCAAGAAGTGATTTAAAGATGAAAATGTACCAGTGAGAGAGTCTGTATGAAGCTAATGATGACCAGTTACCAGTGAATACAGGGTGAAATGGTGAGTACGGTAGTTACAACCAGTTATTAATCTTGGTGCACCATGATAGGCAGCACCCAACATCTGCAGGGTGCTTGCAGGAACATTCATGTGAATAATGTCACCGTAGTCAATGGTGGGAAGGAAAGTCACAGTAACAAAGCGTTTCCTAGCGTTCAGTTAGACGGGATCTATTTTTGAAATGGGATCTATTTCTGAAAAAGAAATCCAGTTTTACTTTCAGTTTCTTTACCAAGTTTTCAACATGAGCCTTAAAAGAGAGATGCGAGTTGACCAAGATACCCAAATATTTGTAAGCATTGACAGACTCAATATAAACACCATTCAAAGATAAGATAGAAGGAAGAACTGCTGGAACCGACTTCCTGTTTGAAAACAACATACCTTTAGTTTTGTCAGCATTTAGCTCCAGTTTGAGATGGAACAAATCTAACTGGATGTCAAAAGCAGACTGCAAACGCTGAAAAACCTTAGCAGCTGTTCTAGCTCAACAAAAAACAACTCTATTGTTTGGCATAGAAATGTAAGGATGTATCAGGAATGCACTGACCTACATTACTTATGTAGATTGTGAAGAGGGTGGGTCCTAAAACTAAACCTTGTGGTACACCGTTGTTAGTTAGAAAGTTTGGTTTAGTTTTTTAATTTGTTTTATTATTGCTTTATTTTACCAGGAAGAAATCCATTGAGTTAAAGTGAAATTTAAAAGAAAAACTGTCTTTCTGTACTCACAATCCAAGTCAGTAAAGTTATGTGGTGCCAGTTTACAATAAAAGTCATCTCAGGAAATTCAACCATTTCATTATTACAGCTTGAATCTGCAGCTAGATTCATATTCAAATTTAGCTACCTATTGTCCAGTTTATTCCAGTTAAAGTGCAATTTAAAAGAAAAGACTAAATAAAAACTAACAGCTAAGATTATTGAAATTTTGGGAATGTGGTACGTATTAATTACAGTGAAAATTGGAGACAATTATATTTAAAATTCTGCTATGAGTAGATTTTAACTTCAAGCAACACATATCCACTCTATTTATTATTTATAAGTATTCAGAGGTTGTTGCCTCATATAACTCTACTACCTGAAGTTAATCTTGAGTGACTAATACATTATTCTATTTCATGTTACTCGTGACCTTGTGCAGCTTAAAATACTAACAATAACCTTTAATAAACCTTTTTATTAAATGAAAATCCAGCTTATAAATAACTCAAGTTTTTTTTTTTTTTTTTATCTGAAACATGGATAATGTTTAAATCTTTTATATATTTTGTTCACAGCATCCAGTATCTTACCTGTTGTAGATAAATCTTTAAACAACCTCAGAGAACTAAAGTTTAATTCTGTTTGGTTTGATGAGTTAATAACTAGTCAGAGTGGAGCTAAAACCAAAGTGGATTAAGCAAAATGACTCTGATCTCGGGTATTTTAGAGACGTTCACAA